GGGCGTGGGCGTGGGTGGGTGTGGGCGTGGGCGTGGGTGGGTGTGGGTATGTCCGGTGTGTTGTGTGTCGAGTGTGGTGGGTGTGGAGTGTGGTGGGTGTGGGTGTGGAGTGTGAAAGGTGTGGGTGATTGAAGAAGAATAAGCAACATCCACACCAACGCACCCGCATCCATACTCACGCTGAGGCCCACACCCACACTCCACAGTCGCATCCACACCCACACCCACACCCCACACTCACGCCCATACCTAAAGACCCACACCCACACTCACACCCACAGACCCACACCCACACGCACTCCCACACTTACACCCACACCGACGCTCACTTTCACCCGCATACACCTACACTCACTTTCACCTCCACACACCTGCACTCAGTTTCAACCCCGTGCTCACCCCGACACCCACACCTCACACTCACACTTACACTCAGATCCACACTCACCCTCACACTTCACACGCGCACGCGCACCCCGCACCCACTCCGACACCCACACTCACATCCACATCCTCAACCACAGCCACACCTACACTGTAAAGAAATTTCGTAGAATAATAAGTCCAAAAAGGTTTGATGAAAGTGTGACGTACAGTAAACCCTTTTTACCGTATATTAAATTCTCCTATACCCTTTTTAAGGGTTTAATAAAGGGTTGAGGAAATTCCTAAACCGTTTAAGGGTTTATTATACATCAGAGGTGGGATCGGCTGGCATTTTTGTCAAGCCGAACCGACCGTAACCGAAAAAATCTCTAACCGAACCGAATGTAACCAAGCGAATATTTAAAAATTTCTAACCGAACCGACCGTAACCGACCGAATTTCAAAAATTTCGTAATCGAACCGAGTTTAGAGAAAGCGAAGTTTAGCTTATGTTAATTAGGGTATTAGTGCTTTATAAATTAGCAACAACAAATCGAACAGTAGCAACTATTAGCAATCAACATCTAGAGAAAGTAACGAAGAAAGATTATTTATTAAATCATCTTACTGTATTATAACCTTCTTACCTCTCACAACAAATTTAAAAAACATGTGAGATAATACGAGTTACGAACAACAGCTAATTGTTGTACGATTACACTCTTTTTTCTTCTTATGTCACAAAAAGTCCATCGAACTCAAATCAAAAGATTATGCCAATTCTTTCTAACCGAACCGAACGTAACCGACTGAATTTTTTAACATTTCTAACCGAACCGATCGTAACCGAAAAAATCCCTAACCGAACCGAACGTAACCGACCGAATTTTTTAAAAATCTCGAATCGAACCGATTTCGGTTACGGTCGGTCGGTTCGGTTCGGTTAAAAACCGAATCGATCCCATCTCTGTTATACATTACACTTTGTACAACCCTTTTAAGGGTTTAGGAAAATCTTAAACCCTTTAATATACCCTTACTAAGGGTATATGAACGGGTTTAGGAAATCAATAAACCCTTGCATAAACCCTAAAAAATGTTTGATGACGGTCACTAAGTACGGATGGGATTCAGCAAAGGGTTTATGAGATGCTCAGAAACCCGTGTTGGGGTATAGGGAAGGGTTTAAAAAACAGTCATAAACCCATATAAGGGTTTAGGAAATGCTCATAAATCCATGTAAGGGTCTAGAAAATGCTCATAAACCCATGTATGGGTATAGACAAAGGTTTAGGACACACTCATAAACCCGTATCAGGGTTTAGGAAATGCTGATAAACCCATGTAGGGGTATAGGCAATGGTTTAGGATATACTCATAAACCCATATAAGGTTTTAGAAAACACACATAAACCGAGCCAAGCGTTTCTAAAAGGGTTTAGGAAATGCTCATAAACCTATGCAAGGGTTTCGGAAAGGGTATATAAAACAGACCCGTCCTTGAGACTTATTTTGAGGCACACCATATCAACCTGTTACCCTTTCCGCTCGCATAACGACAAAGAACTTTAGGAAACAGCGGTGTCATGGCTCACAGCTGTACATGTTCTTCTAAGCAAAAAACAAATTCTCAGTGGTTCGAATGATACTCCGTGGAAAAGTTTAGATTGCCAAATGAGATTTTTTTTTGTCTTTTTCGCAATCTAAACTTTTCCATGGAGTATCATTCGAACCACTTAGAATTTGTTTTTTTCTTAGAAGAACATGTACAGTTGTGAGCCGTGACATCGCTGTTTCCTAAAGTTCTTTGTTGTTATGCGAGGCAAATGGTTGACAGGTTGAATCGGTGTGCCTTAAGATTAGTCCCCAGCGTTACTTATGATTACGTTTGTCGCGATGGACCTAAATAAAAATAATAAAGTTATATAAATAATACTTAGAGATCATTTTGAACTTCATATTGTACTAAATAAAGAAAAACAAATATATACAAACAACTAAATAATTACTTTGCATTTCCTTGTTCCAATGGATCTAAATAAAAAAAGGATAACATTAATATAAATAATACTGACATTTTATTTTCAACTCCATATTAACCTAAAACAAAAAGAAACATATATAAGAAAATGATACTTAATTTTGATTTCGTTGTTGCGATTGATCTAAATGGAAAAAAAAGATTTATATAAATAATACTTACATATTATTTTGAACTTCATATTGAACTAAATAAAATTTAAAAAAATATATACATAAGTAAATAATAGTTACTTTTGATTTCTTATTAATTACATTGGACTTTTTTTCTGGCGAATGTTTTTCTGAAGATTTGCTACTGAGGCATAAAGGGTATTTCATAATAACTGAGGATACAGTGTTAATGGTATTTTTCATACTTTTGTTTGACCTCGAGAGCTGAAAGTTTTTGACATATATCACCAATCAAGATATTTTAGTTCTGAAAGTTTCAGCTCTATAGCTATGACTAATGATAAAATACATTGATCAAAGTGATATACATAAGTTATAGTTATAGAGATGAAACTTTCAGAACTAAAAGATCTTGATTAGTTATGTATGTCATAAAAATTTCAGGTCTCTCCATCAAACAAAAGAATGTAAATATCATGAACGAAAAAGTTGATAAAAACATGTGTGACATGAAGTGACATCTATGTATAAGGAATCATGACCATAATTTAGGCACGATATGTACCTCTAATTATATTATGATATATCCACGTACATATCATCAATAAAGCTTGAGGAATAGTGCAAAAAATATTAGGTAGATAAGCAGATTTATTTCGAATAGAGACACTTACTGCATCAAAAAACTTTGTTTTCCGTTTTTCTCAAAATCAATTTTTTCGAGCATACCGTTTACGCGGACAAGGTTTTCTTCATAATGACTCAATATAGAGGTGATGATTTTTTTAATGCATAGTAGACAGGTAAGGCTAGATCCTTCCATGATCCGATTTTTGAAGGCATCTATTTAAGTGCTAAGTAGAAATATATAAATGCTAAGTAAAAAATTCAATGTTTTCTAAGTAATTTGTTTAATATAAATCTAAGTAAGAAAAGATTTTTTGCTAAGTAGTTTATTTAAATTCTCAGTAAAAAAAGTCATGTTTTCTAGACAAAATATTAGGAATTGATAAGTAGATATATAACTTTTGCTAAGTAAAAACACAGAAATATCTAAGTAAAAAATTCAGTTTGAACAGTTAATCGATTAACAAAGCTTGTGTTGCTTTTCGTGGTCGTCCTCGCTTTCTTTTTTCACCCAAAGGTACATCCTTCGCTATTGAAGGTGGTTTACAATGCTTTAATCCAATTGCCATACCAATCACGTGTTTACAAATGTATTCCTTCAAAAAATTTGGACAATTGCAAAATCCATTTTTCCATTCCGATCCAATGTTTGGTAAAGTTACTTTCCAAATTCCAAACTGAAGATCCTTAAATTGCGCAGATGAAGTCCATTGTTTTCTTTGGTATCTTTGGATTTCATTTTTTGTAATATTTGCTACATCACCGGTTGGTATATAATAATCAATAAAACCCTTTCTCTTCGATTGTAGTTGTAAAACTGACTTGGAGGATTTTGCAAAATGATATGCATTGGTCCATTTTGCAAGTGGGATTGTTGGTTCTGTGGAAAACACAACTGGATCTGTTTGATTTTGATTGCGAGACATAGACCATTTATTCACAATATCACTTGCAACTGTAAGAAATCTTGATAATGTGTGTCGTTCTCTAAAAGTATGTTCGTCTTTGATGACTTTGTTCGTAGCTTCTAATTGATTGTTAGTGCTTGGTGTGAACGCACCATTATATCCTTCATACCACGAATCAAGAACTGTTAACCATTCGTTTTCGAAATATTCTGTAAATTCTTTTTCTGTTTTATTCCATTGCTTCAAGAATAAGGATGATACATTCCGAAACACAGTTTCTGATTCGCATAATTGTAATGTCTCAATATCATCTAATATTTCTTTTGTTTTCTTCGAATCGATTTTCAAGCTCTTCAATTTTTTCTCAACATTGCGACGCATATGAGACCAACACATGACCATTTTATCCCTATTGAAAAACTTTTGAAATGCATTACGTATAGCACCAGACCCATCAGCTATAAGTACTTCGGGTGTAAAGGCTGATCCAGTTATTCGGTTTACACCGTCGGAAATACTTTTAAAAATAAATTCGAATTCTGGTTCTTTTTCATCAGTATATACAGCCAATCCAAATGGATGAAATTTACGATCGCAATCACTTGTTCCAACAACTAATACTGGAAAACCCTGCCAGTTCAATTTGTACGTGGCATCAGCATGTAACTTGGTTGATATTGAAGCAATTTGGAGTAATCGTTTTGAAGAGAGAAAAAATCTGAACTTATTACCATCATCGACGACGTCTTCATCATCGTCGTCACTATCATCTTCGTAATGAATATGAAAAGAAACTACAAATGATTCATCGTCAGATTGTGGTACTGTATGTTTCTCTTGACACCAAGATTCTAATTCTCCTAAACTTAAGCTAGAAGGACCAAATTTTTGTTTACGTAATTGTGTTAAATAATTGTTCACTTGATTACGTGTTATCTTGAAATTTTTCTCTTCCAACACTTCATATATTTTCTTTGGCTTTAATCTCATATCAAACAGTTCCTGGATATTTTGTTTCATTTCTTCAGAGAAGAAATAATGTTTACTTGAATCAGTATGGTTATGCTCATTATTTGCACGAAATAATATAACTTCATCACTATTGTGCGGATAAAAGAGATAAATTGCAGCATTACATTGTGTGCCACGAAACTTAACTTTATTACAGCGGTAATGAACTTTAACTCCATCTTGAACTTTGTTGGTAAAATATCGACTCCATTGTTCTTCTCGTTTAATTGCTATTTGAGCGTCTGTATCATTAGAAAAGCATTTGTCTCTTATCCAGTCAAAGTTACGTTTAATTTTTATCTTTTCTTGAACATTCTGCTGATCCATCGTATCGTCGGATTCCGATGAACTCTCATACTGTTGTGTTTGTACAAAATTTGGCATTGTAATATGTTTAAACTAAACTTCAATCGGCAGATATATATATATATAGGCGATTAAAGAAGAATAATTTTCTGGAAAATAGTGGAGATCATATGTGATCGTCACAGAAAGAAAGAGAAAAATATACTTGAACATACTAGAAGTTGATGTTTACATCAAATCAGTCCTAACAGAACGAAAGAGAGAAAATGTACGACCTACACCCAGGCTGACAATCGTTTTCTTGTCATAGTCACTTTTACTTAGCAATATTTTTTCTTTATCCATATAATTTATTTTCTAACTTATCAATCTCATTTATCAACTGAGTAATTAAATATTTTACTTAGATATTAATTATTTAACTTAGCAAAAATTTTAGTCACCGAGAAATATTATTTCCACTAAGCATTTAATAAATTCACTGAGCATCTAATTTTTCTACTGAGTATCTATATATTTTACTTAGCAATAATCTACTTAGCATTTATATTTTTCTACTTAGCACTTAAATAGGGGCCATTTTTGAATTCTTCTTTTGGTGAAATAAAAACCTTAGATATTTTATTTTTTAGTAGCAATTTGTTGGACATGATTTCGTGAATTTTATGAAAAAGGGCTTTTAAAAAACAAACAAAGCGAAATTCAAAAATTGGGCACTGGGAGGATCTAGCCTCAAGGGTGCTCTACAACTTGAAAATCGCCCGGGCTTAATAGCTCATATCCTTATCGTGAAATCCTTGCCCGCGTACAGGGTACTTTTGACTAATAAATTGACTATAACTCATTAGTTTATTGGAGATTTGGAGGAGATATTTTAAGCGTAATCTCTCCTAGCCTAGACTAACATCCTCTGAAATTTTGATTGAAATCGGGTGAAAAATAACAAAGTTGGTTTCTGAGTGGGGGGGGGGGGGCCCTTAAATTGAGAATTTTCATAATTGAATGCTTCAATAGTTGAATTGCAAATTTGAATAATTGAATAAGTGAATGGTTGGATAGAAAATGTGAATAATTAAATAAGTGAATAGTTGAATTGAAATTTTGAATAATTAAATACATGAATAATTGGATACTTGAATTCAATTTTCAACTTTGACACTACTGATACACAGTTAGAGCTAAATCTCTGCAAGCTTTTGATCTTTCTTTTGCTGACGTGTATACCATGTATGCCTTACACATGATTAGTTTTCAATGGCACAGCACATAATCTGCTAGTGGATATCAGAGCATCTATTCTTTCAGAGAATAAAAAAGCAAGAATTAGAATATCAATCGAAAGGCAAATTTAATGAACTGTAAGCTGAGACAGTAAAGTATGGCATTTAGTTGGAGGTTGAGAGGCCTATATATAAAACACAAAATTGTGATTGAGAACTGAGTAGTGTTATAGTCAAGGAGATCAAGTAAGTGGAACCCAATGACGAGAATATTTTTATGTATCTCGCTATTTTCTTTTATCACTAGCAAACTATATTTCCACGTACCTTCAAGTATTTCATTCAACATCAATATACATGAACAATAGTAAGTTGATATTGTTTTACGAATAGCAGCAAACAATCAACGTCGTCTTTTTCAGAAATATCCATCTTCATGTTGCTGAGCGTAGTCGTTCTCTACACGACAACGAGTGCAGTGAGCTCGAATGAACCATTAACACTTACGAGTAAGCACATGTTAACATTATCAGTATATGGATGCTTGATTTACGAATCTGGAAGAATTCATAGTGCTCCCTAAATGAGAAATGTATGTAGCCAAAATTTCAACCTAAACATATGCTTTGTGTTCAGATAATGGAGTTTCAATAAAATTTTCATTTTTCAATCTTCTAGAAATATACACAACTCCGATTTTATTTCTTTCTCGAGCAAATTATCTATCTCTTTTATTCAGTAACATCTCATTCATAGAGTAAAGAAAATTCAGCATCAAGAAATATATTTCACTTCCTACAGATAGCATTTCGACTAAATCGGCTTAAGTAAACAACGAATTCTAAAACTGTGTTTGGTAAATATTCAACATGACACGAAGGCTACATTTTCCTGTCAGAAATTTCACAAAAACCTATCGCATGGAGAAGATTTTCTTCACAGATTACTCTATTATTCGTACTCGTAAACATCGGCTCAATGCTAAAAACGCAATATAACGCTAAAGTTTGCTAGAAAATGGGTGCGTTTTGAACAGTTTTACACAGAAAGCTCATTTCCCAGGCACATGAATATTATACTCGAAACCAGTATCAAAGACTCGAGCTGATGGATACATATTTCATTAAGTAAAAATCTCAATAGAGATGTCAACTCTCTTTTCTCTTAGTGTTTCTTCAATGGACTTCACCTGTGACTCACATTGACTGATATTTCGATAGAAACTTTTGCTGAATCAAATATGTAGCATTCGACTCGAATTAAGGCACTAATTCTGAGAGCAGCGGTTGAAAATTATTTGATTTGGGCTATTCCATAAGTTTCGAGGCAAATCCAGACACATTCCAGACGATTTGTCATTACTTACATGCATACCTGCAGTCTGAATGTGCTAAAATATTATTATAATTATTTAGTCCTAATAAGCTCTAATATATCATGAAGCAACAGATAAATCCATTAGGAATCATTGCATGAGAGTCATGCCGATG